ATAGAGACATACTGTAATGCTATTTCCATGTTTTTGGAGCTACAAAGCCCTCAATACCAGTAGGCTTCCTTTTTTGAGTGGACTTTACGGCAATCAACGTTGTCCGTTCCTTTCCTTTCTTTCTGTGGGCAGAGATCCAACAAAGTTTTTCCTCTCTACCTCCTGAGTTGCTACTAATCTGCACAGAAGAGATAGGTGCACCATTGCCAGGAGAAAGGAGGAGAAGAGGGTGAAAGAGGTGGTGGAGGAGGAGCAATACTAGAGCTAGAGGATTCTAGATATGGTATTGGGACCCTGCTGAGGTAAGCACCTCTCCTGCTGCCAATGATGCCAATCCTGATGTTGGCACTGATTTGACATCCCATTCCTGCTTCATTCAGAACCCCTTGTAGCTGTTGATGATGCAGATGACAAGAGAATGGAGATCATGGATTTCTCATATAATGTGTATTTTAGCCCTAAGAATTAATTTATAAGCTGACTTGCTGGGAACACAGAGATGATGTGTATTGGCACTGAAGATCAAATGTATGTTTAACATATATTTAGAAGAAGAGCTCACTGAAGTACCAAAAGAGGTCTATATATCATAGCATGTGCTTTTCGACTCCTCTGTATCTTGCAACTAGCATGTGCTGTACCTTTTTTCTCTGACTGATCACTGTTAGATATGCAGGGGCTTAAGTTGCCAGGATGTGGTGGCGCTGCGGGCTAAACTGCAGAAGCCTGTGCTGCAGGGTCAGAAGACCAGCAGTCGTAAGATTGAATCCATGCAATGGAGTGAGTGCCCATCGCTTGTCCCAGCTCCTGCCAACCTAGTGGTTCGAAAGCATGCAAATGCAAGTAGATAAATAGGGACCACCTCGGTGGGAAGGTAACAGCGTTCCGTGTCTAAGTCGCACTGGCCATGTGACCACGGAAGATTGTCTTCGGACAAAACCCTGGTTCTATAGCTTGGAAATGGGGATGAGCACCGGCCCCTAGAGGCGAACATGACTGGACAAAAAATTGTCAAGGGGAACCTTTACCTTTTACCTTAAGTTGCCAGCTGACACTTTCATCTCTAGGGAAATCCAGTTCTGGGAGGGAAAATGGGTTAATTTCAGGGAGCAAACAGCAACTTAACATTTCCTGCCTCTCAGAGAAAATGAATCCTTGGCTTGATTTTCTTCTGCTCTTGGCATTTTCTCATCATACCCCTTCCTTCTGTCTCTGTTTCTCAGGATCTCATCCTCACTCCCGTCCATTTTTTCCACATGAGGATAAAAGACTGGAGTTTCTGTTTTGTCTAGGGAGAACACTAAGCACAGATTTTGTCTTGCAGAGCCGTACAAGGTAAAAACACTGCTCAGGTTACAAAACAACACTTGTCGCTTGCTTGTTGCTGGTTTTAATAACACAATACTAAGCCATGCTTAAATTCATAATTAATCAGAATGAACAGCACTGCTGAAATAGGCACACCCTTTTTATACAAATGTTTCTCTATTGGTTAGGTCCTGCTGGAAAGGCATTTAAGTTAAAGATAATAATAATAATAATAAAAAAGAAAGCAAGATCATGCTGGGCTTTCTGCCCTAAAAGTCATCAATCGGTGGGTTCGTTAGGCCATTGCACATCTTTGTAAAAGGCACCTTTGCAGCTTCGGATCTGATAATAACGTTCAAGTTCCAGACCAGGTACTGTGGATCTCCAGCCGATAAATCCTTGGGTTGTTTGAGGGACAGGTGGGGATGGATGGATCTGAAACGGAGGAGTACATCTTTCATTTATTCATTTGTTCATTTAGATCATAACCTCACATATGACAAAAAAATCAGACTCAAGGCAGCTCCCAAATTTAAACAAAATTGCAAATAATGCAAAATAAGCAGCGGTAGAAACATCATAAAAATTACAGTGAAAAAGAGAGTAAACCAATATCAGCAGCAGTTAAATGAAGTATAAATTTGAGCTATCAGAATGTAACAGTTTTAAGAGTCTGTTAAAGCCACACAAAGGGTCAGGTATGTATGTAATACCTTAAAATCCATTCTATACATTAAGATTAGATTTGTGTTTCTGGACTCCCAGGATTTCCCAGCCTCCAAAACAATCCTGTACACCTCTACTTAATATATTTTTGGCTAGCTGGATAGCTCAATGGACTGCAAGGAGAACAAACCTATCCATTTTGCAGGAAATCAGCCCTGAGTGCTCACTGGAAGGACAGATCCTGAAGCTGAGGCTCCAATACTTTGGTCATCTCATGAGAAGAGAAGACTCCCTGGAACAGCCCCTGATGTTGGGAAAGTGTTAAGGCAAGAAGAGAAGGGGACGACAGAGGCTGAGATGGTTGGACAGTGTCATCAAAGTGACCAACGTGAATTTGACCCAACTCCAGGAGGCATTGGAAGATAGGAGGGCCTGGCGTACTCTGGTCCATGGGGTCACGAAGAGTCGGATATGACTAAATGACTAAACAACAACAAATAGCTCAATGATTTAGGTCTCTGGCTGTGGAGCTAGAGGTCAGGGGTTTGATTCCCCCACTGTACGTCTAAGGGAGAAAAGCCAGCCTGTGTGGCCTTAGGGCAAGCAGCACAGTCCCAAGATGCCCTCAGAAGAAAGGAATGGTCAACCACTTCTGAGTATTCTCTATCTTGAAAACCCTGAAAAAGGTTGACATAAGTCAGTACTGACTTGACTGCACTTGATGATGACGATGATGATTAATGTAAGTGCACATAGTCCTGATCCAGATTGGGACTAGCACATGGGGAGGGGGAGGTTTATATCTGTTTTATCCTCAGCTGTTCTTCTTTTGAAATGCTGCTAGTGGAGTGTTTTTCTTTGAACAATAAAAAATTCTGCAGCTACAGTATTTATGGAAAGGTAAGCATAGATGACAAAAGTCCATTTTGTAAAAATGGTGAAACCCCTCCTCCCCCATGTAAAAACCTGCAGGCATAATATGATAGTGACTGTTTTGGACCTGCCAGTTGGCAGAAGAGCATAGAAGCACTGGACAGTCTTGTGAGACTGTGATGATGGTCATTAATCTACTGGAAATCTCCTTGCAGAGAACGTTTGTCATGGACCCTCAGTGGGATCAGCCCAAGTAAACTGTGGAATTCCTGTGTTTCCAAGCTAAGGCACTATCTCCCAAGAAAAGCAACACAGGACCCTTTTCTGCTGAATTCTTTGCCAGTGGGCAAAGAACTTCCTGGCCAGGCAGGCTTATGGCTTGCAACTACTGTCAAATAAGACATTTTAAGGGGGGATCCTGCACTTTTTCAAACATGCTTTTAAAATGCAATTAATGTAATTGCCATTTATATGGTAATAAACTGAATTTGTCTTGTAAGCTGTCTTGAGCAGTTTATTGCGAGAAAGGCAGGGTATAAATAAAATGAATGAATGGGCAACAATAACTAGTTAGTAAGAAACGGATTTATGTACAACTACTTTTCACAGGAAAAGAACTCTATCCCCAGCATTTCAGGACAGCAAATAACTTGTATATGGAAACAGGAAGGCAGGATCATTTATTAACCAGCTCCACTTCCATGTAAATTGTTTCCTGTGCACAGAAGTAAACACGGATGTTAGAACATCTTTATTAAACATTGCTGACTTTGATTGGCGGAGTAGTGTGTTCAGTGGGAAAATGCAAGACCAATTAGTGACCAGATGTTTTTTGCATGAAGAATAATTCATTCCTTACTATAAATGAATTTGGCTAATTAGTAACTAACCCAGCTGTGGGGATGGTTGGGGTGGGGTGTTGGGCACTGAGAAGCAAGGGCTTGAAACTTCATTGCCTTCGCTGTTGTGCTTGCTTTGGCAAGACAGCCTGCTGGAAGTGCTTTGTTACGTATCATTCTAACATCTGGGGACTTATTCAGTGAAGGAAAGACACATTTGAGAAAGCAACGTTTCTGGTTTGTTCTCCTGCCAGGGCCTTTTTCACTTTGTTCCTCAGCCAAGCCTGAAAAATATTTGCAACATCTAGGCGGAGTACTTTCTTTGAAACGATTGCCTCTTCTCTCTTTTCATTTTCACTTCCCTCCCCCCTTCGTAGCCACATATGCCACCCACCTTGCCGAACAATGAGGACCACTTTATTATTTTGCCTCCCTGCTGTACTAACCACAGGGAGTGAGAAAGGGTTTAAGGACTCGTTGCCTGAATCTTTTGGAGGAAAGGGTGTGTGGGTTTCATTTTCATGGGACAGAACCAACTTGAATTTCGTGCGGCAGGAATTTAAACGCACAAATACGACCCCCTCCACATACACCCAAACTGGCCTAAGTTCCATCTTGATGAGCAAGCTGCATCTTGTGGGCACGGTCAGGCAACGTTCCAGACCTCCACATTCTACAATCTCCAGGTGTGATGTAAAGAAGCAAGCTCAGTGGGGTCAGAGGGGGGAAAGGCAAACGGAAATGTTGACGGCAACCAATTATGCAGTTTCATCACCCAAGGATATTTTACTGTCTCTATGAATTATGCTGTCTTAAGGCTGTTACAGTTTGCAAACCAGCCTTACTCTGTTGCATGTTGAATCTGGACCTTTTCGGTCCAGTGGTAGGTCAAGGATTATTATTATTTTTTTAAAGAGCTCAGCTGGAGCAATTCCTGTGTGCACAGAAAAATCACTGTGGAGATGGCTGGCAGGGAAGCAACCCTTTCCAGTGTGATCAAACGTAGTCTTCTACTGCTGTCTGATGGCATCCTTTGAAAAAAATTATTCTCCTTACAACTAAGATGGGAAAGTGTTTTCTTTTAAATCACATCTTTGTTAAAAATTTGGTAGGATTCTTATTTTGATTAAATGAATTTCCCGAGGGGTTCATGTCATGCTCTACATGAGAGATGGCAAACCTGGCCCACCACGTGTGTGTTGACCCCCTTTATGCTATCCCTGAAATCACTGTCTCTGTCTATTGTTCTCCAATTTCTTCCAGATTGTTTATTCCCCACTGCAGTTAGCAGCCAGGGAGGAGTGATTTGAGCATCCTCGTTGCTGGTGGATGGGATGGAAAGAATGCTCACCACCCTCTTCCAGTGAGGAAAGAGGACCATTGGGATGTATGCTTATGGGTGCATGTATGTGTGTGCACTCACACAACTGTATTCCCCCAAGTCTGTGGCTGGCGTCTTTCACATCCAGTCCTTAGGGCCAAGAAGAAGGTGCATCCGTGTGTGACAAGCTCCTAAGGCCATGGAAAGTGAACACTGTTGTTACAGATAGGGACCCTTCCTTCCTCCAGAAAATGTTGAGTATAATTAAGAACACAAGCCTAACACTGGCTGATATGACGTCCTTGTGAAGAAATTGGACTTTCAGACTTTCAATAGCTCTTATGAAAGCTGGCTGAGTGTCTTCCTGAGGCATCTTTCTCAATTCTAGCCTGTGCTTCTAGCTCTTACGGAGATGAATGCAATAATAATATTATAATATATAATACTAATATATGATAATGTTCAGGTCTTAGAGGAAGACCATTTTATTGCAAGGCCTAAAGTTGGACAATGAAAGCTTCCGTTTGCAGAGCCCCTGAAGGATCTCATCTTGTCTTCCTCAGCCCTTCTGAAGTGGCCCTCAAGATCCTGACCTTTAACTTAAAAAAACTAACATTGCAGAAGAACTGATGAGGGATCTTTAGGTGGTGTACGAAAGGCACGGGATTGTTCTGGAATTGTTCTATTTTGTTTTAATTGTGGTGCCATTTAAAATCGCGACGCTATTGCCTAACCTTAATATATTTTTCCACTGGCGTCACAGGACGGATTTGCAAGTGTTCTGGAAGCGGGATCTTGGGCTTAGCAGGTTCTTTCTTTTCGTCTTTTAACAACTAAAAATAGAGGAATATAATAAAACAAATGGCCACTTCAAGCCGAGCTGTGCATTGTGATAACATTGTAATAGCTCATATCTATCTAGGTATTTATACTGTTCCCATCATAGCAGTACTTGATGACCTTGTACTTGGCACCTGATATAAGACCATTTATTACACAGGTTTGGATGCTTTTGAAATTCACCTCTCATACAGAGAATTAATTCTCATTTTAAGGCTATGAAGTGAACCTGGAGGACGCACTTATGGCAGTGTATAACTCACACGGTACATTACCAGGAGAGCGGCCGTATTCATCTGCGGCAGCAGGAATAACAAGGAGTGTTGTGGCTCAGTAAAATCTCACCCGTCCTGAATGTGGTGTATGCAACAAACCTGTCGTCACATTATACATGTCTGTCCAGAGGAAAGCCCTGAGTCTAATGGAACTGGCTTCTTTGTCAATCAATTAAAAGTTGTGAATAATGAAATATAGACAACTCATAGAAACACCTTTAATATGAAGAGGAAATGCTGTACTTAACACATAGCAAGTACAGTGGTGCCTCGCTTAACAAGCGCCCCATTTAACGACAAAATCGCAAAGCGATTAGGTTTTTGCGATTGCAAAAGCTATCGCATAACGATGTTTTGAATGGGAAAAAATCACTTTGCGATGATTGGTAAGCTGTTTCGCTTACCGATTTTTGCATAGCGATTTTTTCCAACAGCTGATTGGTGGTTCCAAAATGGCCTCCGGAAAAAAATGGCCACCCACTCTTTTTTGGGACGGATTCCTCGCTTACTCGGCAGCGAAAATGGCTGCCGTATGGAGGATTTACGCTAAAACGGAAGTTTGTGCCCCATTAGAATGCATTGAAGGGGTTTCAATGCGTTTCAATGGGGTTTTTTAAATCCCCTAGCAACGTTTTCGGTTAGCGGCATTTATGCCGCACCGATTAACATCGCTATGTGAGGCACCACTGTAAACTGCTTTGTCTCATACAGCTGGTATAGAAGCAATATATTCCACAAAGAGACAAAGACCTTTCTCCTCAGACAGTCTTTTCCCAAATAACTGGCTGAGTGAGTGGAGGATTTGAAAGAGATGGCCATGCCGTACCGCTTTGAATATGTTCTTGGTGTTGATTTTGTTTACTGGTTTTTACAGTGCCATTTGTTTGGTCCTTTTCAGTACTTGTATACTTACTGCTTTTAGCTTTAAATATGGTATTTTAATGATGTAAGCGGTGTGGGGTCCTTTTAAAGAGAAAGGAAGGATAGAGATATTTTAAATAAATAAATCAATGAAACCAACCAGGCATGTACTCTATTTTCAGGAGTGAACTGCTTATATGTTGCAGTTCTAGCAACGCTCAGCAACCAGGACCTTCTGCTTTCAGTCCTTTCTTCCTGTTCTCTGTATTGTACTGAAGAGCAACGTATTTGGGGACCGGGGGTGCTGTGCAATCTGGGCAGCTCGGCTTCACTTCCCAGTTGTCGGCACAGATGGTGGTGACACCATGAGGGAAAAGTTACTTGCCTATTCTTGAACTGATTCTAGTTAAGCTCTCCGGGGATATACTTGCTGCTGCTTGTAGAATAAAAATAAGAAATGCAGTGCAAGATTATGGGAAGCTTATACTTGACGTGCACCCCTGGCTCAGATATTTTGGGCTCCAGTCCCCATCAGCTGCAGCAAACACTGCCAATGGTCAGCTGGAGTCCAAAACACCTGGGAAAAGGACGGATTGGGAAAGGCTAGTTTGTGCAGGAGGTTTCCAAGATGTATCTGCTCCTGATGGGGATTAAAGTGTAAAATATTTTCTGCTGTCTTTCCTTCTGTAGATACCTGAAACTTTGTAACTGCCACTACACTTTTTTTTAATTAAACCCCTTCCCTAGTTCATATCTGCGGTTTTGAACTTCGGTCTCATTCTTTCTCAGATAATGTTTACTAATAATATAAAATCAATATAATGAATAATAATTACATTTCCTACCCACTTCGAAGTCACTTTCTAGGGCTAAACCCTGCCTTTGAAGCTGATGCGGAAACTTCAGGTGGTGCAGAACGCAATGGCCAGACTCCTCACTGGAGTGAGGAAATACCAACAAATCTGGCCATGCTGCACTGGCTGCCCATCCGTTTCCGCATTGACTTCAAAGTGTTAATGCTTACCTGTAAGGCCCTAAACGGTTTGGGACCTCGATACTTGGCGGAATGCCGGCTCCCACCAAGATGTACTCAGATCACCCGCGTGAATCAGTAGGTGAGGTTGAGGAGCCTGACACCGCGGGAGGCCCGGAAGGAAAGGACACGAAACCGGGCCTTCTCGGCGGTGGCTCCTCGCCTCTGGAACAACCTTCCTCCGCCGATTCATGCGGCCCCTACGCTGGGCACTTTCAAGAGTCAATTAAAAACATGGTTATATGTTCAGGCCTTTCCTCCTGTCAATATTTAACTCTCTCTCTCATCTTTTCCCCTTTCCTTATTGTTCTATTATTGTATGCGTTTTAATTGATTGTAATACTGTATGTTTTATGACAAATACTTTTATTGGAAGCCGCCCAGAGTGGTCGACCAGACCAGATGGGCACGATACAAATGAAATCAAATAAATAAAAATAAATAAATAAGATAGGACAGAACATATTTCTTGTAAAGTACACTTGACTTTTCATTAATAGAGACCATGAGGGAACATTCACAGGAAAAATAAAGCTTCTCTGCATATAACGAATGTTACACAGGAATGATTTTTACCTCCTCAACAGGTGTTAAGAGAAAACCCCAGCGTTTGGGCCACCTCCTTGCTGCTTCGTTTTCTGTTTCAATATGATTTTTCCTGATGCAAAAGGGAAAATGAAATGCTTTAGACCCCTGTTAAAGAGATCCACGAATCAGCCACTTTTTAATCAATTGGGGCCTGCAATGCTTCTGCACACATTCAAGCTTTTAGGTAACAATCCAACAGATGTTTTATTACAGTCTGTATTTTTTTTTTTTTGCACCTCGTTTTCCCCAGCATCCCCCTTTTCACCCTATCATGTGCGTTAATGTACTGCAGCTTCAGGTAACACTTCAGGCATGTGATGAACCGAACTCTATTCCATAGCAGCTTATAATAAATTTAGAACCTTTATTGCAGAAATAATCCCTTCGGAAGAGGTGCAACACATTAACATGGTGGCCTTTCTCAAAATCAAGCAGCTGTAGCAGGACTGGGTGATCCCAATAGGACCAAGGACCATTTTTCAGGTTTGAAGGCAGTGGGCTTTCGTTTATCAAAAAACAAAATACAAAAAAGAAAGGCTTTAAAAGGGAGGTTAACCGGGCTGGGGGGGGAAAGCTTTCTTGCACCCTCTATTGTTGTTACATGCCATCAAATCACCTCCGATTTATGACCGTTCTATGAATGACTGAACTCAAAAATGTCCTGTCCTCAACAGCCCTGCTCAGCTCTTGAAAACCCACCCTCCTAGGGGCCAAATAAAATAAAATAATGTTTTTCTTTAACACCCCCCACCCACATTGGTACAGGGAGCCTGAGCCACCCCAGGGATGGTAGGGTTTTTTTTAAAATGGCTGGGGGTGGGGGAGGAGGATGCATGCAGATCAATGGCTGTATTTTGCCCACTCTTGAACTTTCTGAAAAGAGAGACATTAAAACCTACACGTATGTACGTATGTCCATTTCTATACCACCCCATTAGTGCTGCCAGTTCCTGGGCGGTTCAAAATATGCAATAAAAACATAACACTAAATGCATAACAAACATAAATACAAAAATTTACAATAATTTATGTAATGATAATTATGTGGAAGTAACTAGATAATTTGGCCTATTTTACCTAGTGCATAAATAATCTAATTTGTGTTAATTTATGTAGAGGAAAACTGTACTATGTAGGAATAAAATAAACTCTTGAACACTGGCATTAAAGAAAAGACCATAGCTTGGTAGTGGGAACCGCAATGCAAATAGCAAACAGCGTTTTGTAGACTATATCCCAGGTTCAATTCCAGGTAAAAAAAAGATGAGACTGGTAACCTGTGAACAGTGGCAGGGGCACCTCATTCCTATTGTAGAGCACAAGGCAGAAGAATTTAAAAAAATACGAAGGTATTTAGCCCTCCCCTGGTACATACAGTCTAGCCGTTTTTTGTATTAAAATGATTACTCCAGATGCATCTTAATAAGAGAGAGGTGAAGTTTACTCACAGTTATCAGCTGTAGTTACAATCATTCCCCAGGACATAGAGCTGAGACAGGAAGCTACCCCTATGGCTTCTGCAGTGAACACAGAAGGACTTCTAAAAAAAACTCTCAAGGAAAAACTTGTCTGTGTTCTACGTATACAGAAAATATTATCCCTTTCAAGCTTCTTTGTGCTGGAAGCCATCCAATGGTGTTTCTGGAGTGGAAGGATCACCTGACAGGGTCTTGTTGTTGCCCAGGAGATGACTAAGGACACAAGCTAATTTTCCAGCATGGAGAAGAACTCTGTGCTGGCTTATTGAAAGGTGATCGGGGAAGAAAGGGATGAACAACAACAAAGGAACCAAAAAACAAAACCAAACCACAAAAACAAGTACTGTAGAAGGGAGGATAATGCTGCCAATCAAATTATTGGCAAGTAGCCAAAACAAGAAGGCATCCCTCTGGCTGACACGTGGTGTTAAGTCCTGTTAAGACATCAGTTTTCCCAACACTTCCAACATGCGGGGTTTCTGCCCTGATCACAAGATGCCCATGGGACCAGGGAGCTGGTTATGGGAAATGACATCTGCTGGAGTTTTGTTTCTGGCCCCCTTGGAGCTGTTTGAAGCAAAAGAACGGGACATTAATTCTATCTAGGACAGAACCCAGGGTGGGGAAATGCAGAGCAAGTGCAGACCGGGCTGGGCATTGGGCAATGACAATAACAGCTGCTTTAATTCTTAGCGACTGGGATCACTGGAAACCAGGAGCAGATCTAGCTATCCATCTGTCCATAATGAATTGTGTCTGTCCATTTCTCCCCTAAGAAGATCAAATTACATTCGGCCTCTCTCCAGCGATACCCTGAAATCTACCCTTTTATATCCTCACCCATCCTTCTGTTCAGTCCCATGGAGAGAAGTAAAGCCATACCTGCCTGACATGGTGACATTCAGTGGCCAGATCACTGCAATGCATTTTTATGGGCTGGAGCATATTTCATGTTGGGCCTTTGTCATAAATGAATAAATCTGTATCTGTTACCTATACAGTATCTATATCTGTATCAGATGGGGAGTGTGCATGCTTGTTCCCATCCATCAGAATCATGCATTTTGTTAGCTAAAGGATTAATGGATTCATTTTCTCCTCTAAGTAAGTTCTTCTCAAGGACTAAAAACAACCCCCCCCCAAACCCTGAAGCAATTCACTACTTATTTACTCTAAAGTAATTATATTAAGCCAATGTTTCGGAATAAGTGCTTTGTAAATTGTAACCTTGTCTTCTTAAGCTGTTAACAGCCCGACCCACAATCCAGTTAAGATGAAGTATCTGGAGTGGAACCAGCGCCTTTAATGGGCTTTGATTTCACTGAGCTGTGGTCTATGCCACAGGAGTAGCTTAGGCTGCAGTTTTAAATGTATTGTCAAGAAGCAATTCAGATTATCAATGAAATGTAACACCTTGCTTCCCAGTTTCTTGGACCACCTTAGGAATTTTTTTTCCCTTGTGCCTTTCACACTTGACAGAGCTTAAATGATATTGAACAAATGGGAGACCATTACTTAATGGCTATTCTTCATCACCAAAGCCAGGGATGGGTAATTTTGCCCTTCCAGATGTTATGGGACTGCAAATCCCATCAGCCTCTCTACATGAAGGACTAGTTCCATGTGATAAAATGTCACATTTATGCCTGAGCTTAAAGAAATTCCTTCTGATTCTAATGTCTTTGTAATGAATGTGTGTGTGTGTGTGTGTGTGTGTGTGTGTGTGTGTGTGTGTGTCCCATATTTTTCCATGTATAAGACTATACTTTTGTCTAAAATCTTTAGACTAAAAATTGAGGGTCGACTTATACATGGAAGTAAGCTGAGGTGAGAACAAAAACAAGTGGAGGGGAAAGCAGGGATCAAAACGATCCTGCAGCGCTTTGATCCCTTTCCCCCTACACTTCCTAAGCCCCACTTAGATTTCTTAATTTTGGATTAGAAAAGTGGGGGAGCATCTTGTACAGGGGGTGTCTTATACATGGGAAAATACGGTATATTTCTGTGTGGGTGCATGTGGTGCAGGCTTTCTTGTGCACCAGGTATACATCCACTCTACAGACATTTGCCCTGTACAAGAGAAAAGGAACGGCTATTCCTGTTACCTGTGACATTTACATAAAGCACCTGGGATGGATGCTTCTGTTCAATCAACACCCACATTAAAAAGTTAAGGAAAGATTGGTTGTGGTGGTGAGTGAAGGGATTGGGATTGTATTCCTTGTACGAGTGTACACATGCATAAATGCACAAGCAATGAATACCCTAGAATCGCAGACATTCCTAGCTTCTGAGCATATTCTGAATACAACTTCACAAAATAGCACCGGTGAACACCTCTTGAAGCACAAAGCATCGGTGTGCCATCAAGACTGGTAGCATGACAAGCGATAGTCAATGAGTGCTCGTGTTACCTATGGAAAGAGTGTTCCTCTTTTCATAGCAATTGCAATAAGAAATTCTAGATATGTTAAATGGCTTGTAGACTCACAAATGAACAAAAGACCCCATGAATAAGATAGAAAGGGTTGTAGGGAAATATAGAAGAGTTGCAAAAGGAATGAGTCAACATCCCAGTTCCTCGGTAAAATGGCGTGAATGAAGCAGGGCAATACTATGATGAAACCTTTGCTTGGAGGTATTCTAGATGGAGGCTAAGAAGGGGGAAATTATTATTCTTTTTTTCCGGATGAAAATATTGTATAGTACATTACACGACACTCCTCCTGTTATTCACATATCATTAGAGAAGTGCAGCTTGGGAAAAAGATAAATGGCTTGTTTATAACAAATGGGTGGCAACCAGTGGATCGCTTGAGAAGGGAGGGAAGGTACTGCACCCCTCCATGACCCAGTTTCAGACTCCATCTGCCACAAACCTTTTGATTCAATAGAGAAAATGGAGACAATGTACGGCTTTTTGGCCTGTGTAGGAAGCTTTGTGTTACGGTTACAATGAGGTGCAAAAATTCAAGTGCAACACGTACTGTTAAAAGCATGCTGCTGTTCTGCAGTTTTATGTTGACTAAATCCAGGGTGATCTTCCACACCTGACTGAAAATTTCCTCTTCCCATCACAAATTAAACCTGATAATTGCTGGAGGTTTGTTAGGGCAAACACGGAATGCTTGGGAAGGCATATGTGCTCAAGTGGTTGAAAAAAAGTAATGTCCTGTCCTTTCTAATCTCTGTCTCTTCCCCAGCCCTCTTCTGGCTGCACCCTTGTGATGCACTCTTATTCTCCTTGTCAAAGAAAAAGGGGGTAAAAGGATGATCAAGCAGAAACACTCGAAAGTGGGAGAGCCTTTCCCTTCTCCACAAAGTGTGGATAAATTCACAACTGTCCAGAAGGTTGCAGAGAGAAAAAAAATGACGTGTGGGAAAAACACAAAAGACTGGCAACGAAAGTTGTCTCATTAGGAAAATTTTGGCATTGCTCGGAGGAAAGAATTCTGTTTGATTCTGGCATAAGAACAGAAGAAGCCTCATAATAGCTACTGTTCCATTCTTGGATTTGGGAAAAATAAGTTTCTTTTAACAAAAACACACAAAATCACCAAGGGTGGCTAGAGAATCTTGAATGTTGTAGTCACAATCACAATAACAGTAACAATAGCAACTTTTTTGAGCTCTGCTGCAAACGGACTGGAACCACGTGTGGGAACTGTTAGACAAAAAGTTTTCCCAGTATTTTCCTAGAGAACGGGAACTGAACTCAAGACTTTCTGCATACAAATCACATACATTTCCACCACTCATGGCTCTCTCCCCATAGAGGCTTTGTGAGCCATTCCAAATTAGCAATAACGGTAAGGGCATCAAAGAGGAAAAATATCAATCTGAGGTTCCAAGCCTAGGCATAATTATTCTGGAGTAAGGCCTTCTGAAACATGGGTAGGATTTGTTAGCCAGTACCTCTCCTCTCTCTGCAGTATTTTTGTTGCTGTTCGTTTTTTTTACTGGAGACATGATGGTTCCATAGCCACTTTGGACACAGTGGGTCTAAATAGCAATGTCTAACTAAGATTTTATGCTCACATTAATGCAACAGGTGTAAAATCTCATTCACATCAAATTAAGAAATTATCATTAATGCAACAGGTGTAAAATCTCATTCATCAATTACATCAAATTAAGAAATCATTTCTTGATCTTTATTCATTTGCTTTAGTACTTCTACATCAGTCACACTTCTGATAAAGGAAGTTAGCAACGTTCTATAACAAACTCACATCTTAAATGATTCTGCCTTTTTGTAAAAAAAGTAGCCAGTTATAAAATCCACAATCACATACCATACAGTAGAATTGAAAATATACAACACCATATATTGCTCATTCTCAAAGCCAGTTTTAAGTTAATGTCATATATTATATTCCTCATATTTTAACCCCCCCGTCATCTCTTTTTCTAACTTTTCATCCCGTGCCAATGCTTCCACTGTTCACTCAATCAAACTCCAAGGGATTTCTCTTTGTCAAAAAAGCCCACACTTTCATTTTGCATTTTTAACTGCTTTTTTTTGTGAGCCGCTTGCTCTCACTGGTATCAAAACAATATGCAGCACCCTGACAGCAATGCATTGCAGCTGGTGGGAATTACGTCTGAGGAATCAAAAGTACATGAAATAAAGAGGTAGGATATTTTGAGGAGGTGGGAGTAAATGCATTCATTGGTTGCTGTGGGTTTCACGGGCCCTTTGACCCCGTGTTCTGAAGGTTGTTCTTCCTAACGTTTCGCCAGTCTCTGTGGCCGGCATCTTCAGAGGACAGCACTCTGTGCTCTGGTGCAGTTTGTTTAGAAGGTTAGAAAGGACAGGAAACGTCAGGAAGAACAACCTAGAGAACACGGCCAAAGAGCCCGAAAAACCCACAACAACCATTAGATCCCGGCCGTGAAAGCCTTCGCAAATACATTAAATGCATTCTTATTTGGACACTGTTGAGGGAGGGATTTAGGAAAAGGACAAGTGGGTCAACTGAGCCAGGATCTTAAAGCATCTTTAACATCTAACATTTGACTGGGCAATAGAGAGTGCTAAATTAAGCAGGAGATTTACCAAATCTGAGCTTCAGCCACGAAGTTGAGGATGTTTTTCTGCGACATCCCAGACACTTGGCCAGCCTGACGCCCCCTGGCTGGTGGGTAGAAGCTGAGCACTACCTGAAACTAGACTCCTGCCAGTAACTGCCCTAACACTGAACTGGAGTTCCCTACTTCTTGCTGTGGTTTCATGTTGCTAGGAGACAGCTGTGGAATGGAGTAGGAGGGAGGGAGGAGGCCAGGTTCATTGCTTAGGCCTGCCCAGGGCATGGATGGTTGGACTGTGTATGTGTTTCCGTAGGTTTTGTGTGTCTAGCCCTCCCTGACCATCTTTCCTCAAACACAATAGTCCTATGGGATCTTAAGAATTTACTTATGTACCTTATGGCACAAGCCTTCATGCATTATGCCAAACTAAATATGTTAAGTCTTTGAGATTTTACGTTTGTTTTTGGTTCTCTTAACCCTCTGGAAGCCACAAAGAGTACACTTTAAATATCAATGGGTTTATTGTTCATTGATGCAGAGTCTTGTGGCACCTTGAAGACTAGCTGGCTTCATTTGGCTAGACTTTTCTGGATGGTAGCCTGCTTCTTCTGATGCATCTGAAGGCATCTACGATTGTTCATAGAATCATATAATAATTGAGTTGGAAGGGGTCTATAAGGCTGTCAAGTGCAACCCCTTGTTCAATGCAATAATCCAAATCAAAGCAAATCTGACAGATGGCTGTCCAATTTTCTCCTGAATGCCTCCAAACCTAAAGACGTTTTCCTGATATTCAGCGTAAATCTGGCTACCTCTAGCTTGAGTCCATTACTATGTGTCTTGAACTCGGGATTCTCAAACACAGATCCTGTCCCTCCTCTCTCTGACTATCTACATCAGGGGTGTCAAACTCATGATTTAATGGACACTCTTCATGTTTTTCTTTTCTATTTCTTTCTTTTACTGATTTAAATTAAAAATAATAATAATAAAAAAGAATTAGTAACCTCCAAAAGGTCTTGTCACATTAAGAGCCCTATTCAGATCTTGAAAACTCTTGAAAACTGCTGGAACCAGTTCTCAGCTCAGTTGTCTAATCCCAAATCTCTCAATCTTTTATTGAGCCAGTCCATGTTATCTTAGTCCTTCCTCTTTTCTTACTGCTTTCAGCTTTTCCAGTGAATCTCATTTTCTCTGGACAGAAGAAATGAGTGACAACCAACATAAAAAGTTACAGCAAGTAAAACTGATTGTTGGTTAACCTTTAAGTTCCCAGAAGACTTTCTGCTGTTTTTGTGGCAACAGACTGCAGACTTAACGCAGCTCTTTCTCTGAAAATTTGTTCTTTGACATGCTTTTTTTTTTCTTTCTTTCCTCCAACAAAACTAGACTGTTTGGGATTTTTGTGTCTAGAAATCATCCCTCTTCTGCCACACAACTACTAAAAAGCAAGGCTGTTAAACATTGCCAGTACAGAACCCACAATGCTTGGAAATGTTACTTTTGGAGGATAAGTCTCAGGACTCCCATCGCCAGCATGAACGATGGCTGGGATACATTGGGGGATCATAAAAGTTGTAGTCAAAAAAGAAACTTTCCCAAACTATGTTGGAACCAGATATCAGTTCCAATTGTCCATTATAATCCCAACATTTATCCCCCTTCCTACTATGATGTAAAGAGGACATGCTTGTCTAAAGTTCACCACCAAATGATGACTTCTTGAACAATCCCAAACTCCATATATGCACATTTGAAGGTACACTATTTCCTGTCTTGCCACAATTTCCAAGCAAAGAGATTCTATTGTTTTAGGACATACTGGAAAAACACATTTGATTCCTAGGACAACTTGTGTCAACTGGTCATAAATTAACCTTGCAGATGGTAAATGTTTTTCTTACCGCATGACGTTTCCATGCCAATGTGTGTCTCACTAAAGATGTGATGCAGCCTTTCTTCTTCATATACTCCAAAGATTTAGCTCCTCAAGATGGAGATGTGGGCAAAATATTAAGTCCTTTAACTCATGCCATCTATTTTTGAAAATGTCATCAAAATCTTCCCCAAAGCAAGTATAAAACCAGAACAGCTGTTTTCATGCAATCATAGAACTGAAGGGAATCTTATCTGGTTTCCCTACTCAGTTCAGAAAATCCAGAGCTCTAGCATCACCAGCAGAGAGCTGCCAGACTCTGCCCGAAGAAACCTAGTAAACTCACCTCATCTCTTGCAGTCAAGAATTTCCTTCTAATGTTCAGCCAAAATCTACTCTCCTGTAATGTGAACTTGTTTGATCTAGTTTGGCTCTGGATATCTGGGTGGCACTCCTTCAAATATTTGACTATCCTAGATAACTAGAGCATCTGAAATGCATGAAACACATCTGTGAAGAACTTCAGTTCATCTCCACCATCCAGTTCTTTTTCTTATAATCTTGCATTTATTGACTTGAGTTTTTAAAATGTCTGGAAGCTGCATTGAGAGCCTCTCTTTTTTGGTTAAAAAACTGAACATAAAATATTTAGTGTCTAGAATTTTGTTACTTGCACCCGCCAGGGTCGGTCCATCCACATAAATCTCACTGGTGAATTCTTGTTTGTTAAGAAGTTGACATCGCCGTTTGGTGTCAAACAGCAGGCAGGGTACTTGCAGCATGGCAGCAAATGTCTCCGTTGACTTCCGAACTAACAACAATTTGATGGACAGAGTTCCTCCTCCAGTCCTCTGAAGATGCAGGCCACAGAGACTGGTGAAACGTCAGGAAGAACAACCTTCAGAACACGGCCAAAGAGCCCAAAAAAATCCACAACAACCACTAACAACAATTTGCCTTTGAGTTTTATGCCAGTTGACTTTCACCTCTGTACTTCTTCAGTTGCATTCTGACCGGTATGTGTGTGTGCATCAGGAAAGAAGTACGGTAAATAAATATTGATTCAGCCTGTTGTCATACCTTCAGTGTCCCACGTCTGAGGGGGGAAAAGTGTGGTATGCTAGAGGCTTGCCCACCTACCTTCATTTGTAGGGTACAGAGTATATATACAAGACTGCTTAGTTCAGAATAGTTACTCTTTATCCAGGGATGGAATGAGGTGTAAGATTGCTATAGATGGCTGCAAGATTCTGGCAAGTTTAATTTGTTATGTTTATGCACAGGATTACCTAGGATGCATTTGTGATGTTTCTGGATATGGAAAATGGAAGAGAGCTATTATTAGAATGAACTTTCATGCTTCAAGTAAATTCACAATCACATTACAGAATTCAGAATTTCTTCAAAAAGTACTTTAGTATCATGTGTGAAAATGCCCTTATGTTTGAGAATTTCTTCCTTCCTTCCTTTTTAAATAGTGTTTAGATTTCACAGTCTTTCTGTTGCTTCATATTTGATATCTGTAAGAGTGATAACTAAACTCTCTCTAGAAGCAAGAACGACTACACTTAGGCTACTGTACCTTGGGCATATCATGAGAAAACAAATTTTGGAAAAAGCAGTCATGCTGGGAAAAGCTGAGAACATCAGGAGAAGAGGAAGACTGAACAGTGACTTAATAACGGATATAACAGAAGCCATGGCCTTTAGTTTGCAAGACCTCACCTCGGCTGTTAATGACAGGATCTTTGGGATCATATATATACTAATTTATAGAGTCACAACTAACTTGATGGCACATAGCAATATCTGTAAGGGTGAGATCAAGTACACTATATAGATGGTTGGGTTTGGTGACATGGGGGAGCCGGGCTTTAAATCCTTTGCTTAATGATGATGGTCAGTGAATAGCCATACACCCTTTCTTAGTCCATTTTGCAATAAGAGGAACATTGTACCGGTAATTGTCCTCAGTGAAGCACAATATTCAAATGTAATAAAAAACAATATCTAACAAAATGGGTGTGGGGACATTGGAATGAGCTGTATGCTATTGTCTTGTTCTGGATGATTTAGGAGAGAAAGGCTGAACATACTTCCTGGCTATATTTGAGAGTCTGAGAAAATATTTACAGCTTGCAAAAAGTTCACTGTGTTCTGGTATATTAATATTTTTGGCCTTCTGTCAATTTTCCGGTACATTTCTTCTTCTTGCACCGGTTTTATAAAACATTTCAACAACAAACAAAGCCAACTGTCTCTTTCACTTAATTTGTCCCTGTCTTCCCCCTTCCTCTTAAAAGCAGTTTTGTACTGTGAATAATTTCCCATCATGGAACAATCTTGATATTCAATACATTAAAAAAATTGAGGCTTTAAGTGTAACATACCGGTGGGCAGGTTACATATGAATAATATTATTTATTTCCTCAACTGCATCCTACCGTGTTTCCCTGAAAATAAGACAGGGTCTTATATTAATTTTTGCTCCAAAAATGCATTAGGACTTATTTTCAGGGGATGTTTTATTTTACAATCATGTCATCTGGCTGCTGCACAATGGTGGATGGCGGGGCTTCACTTAACTGGGGCTTTTTTGGGGGTAGAGCTTATATTACAAGCATCCTGAAAAATCATACTAGGGCTTACTTTCATGTTAGATCTTATTTTGGGGGAAACAGGGTAGGTTCATCCCGTGAATATCTTTAAATTATATAGTAAACAGCTATAGTTCCCCCACTACAAAATCTTTACTTTCTATAAACTAGAGGTGAATTCTTAAGATGCTTGTAATTTCTATCTACAGTATATGGCCTTGCAGTCTCCAGTGAAAACAAGCTTGGACTTCATTACACATTTGATGTTGCAACAACATTTTCCCCTGTATAGTGTGATCCCTGGAGCAGGTTTACTCTATCATGAACCTTCGCCTACGTAAGACTGGACTAGTTTTTTTTTATCTTGAATGTTCCAAATAAGTCTCTATACAGATGCAAGACCATTTGTGTAAGTGCAAAAGAGTGGGAAGAAGATCTAATTATTGATGTGAAATTGGGTGTGTGCATTCAAATGCAGTTCTGTGTTTCAAGTGCAAATTGCAGCTTGGCCAGCACTCACCCACCTATTATCTAAATCAGAAAAAAAATGCAACATAACAAGATGTGAAAAGCAGCATGCCATTATCCAGTGAAAGGGCATCTACGATTTACATGTAGAATTTCCTTGTTGTAGTCTCTAGTAATAAATACTGTGGCCAGTATCCTGTTGGTGCTGGTTTGAGATCTGCATAATTTCCCACGGCTAATAGTAATGAATTGATTCATCTCAGTTGTGTAATTGGGCATGACCAGGCACAGGACCAATATCCATTCCAACACCTTATTGACTAGCTGCAACAGGATACATAAATACTAGTTAACTACTAGCTAGAGAATGGCATCCTTCAGTCTCGAGAGACTATGGTAACATGCTCTGTATGGAGGACTTGGAGAGTGTGCTCTCCAGAGCATGAAGCCTGGGTAAAATAATATGGAGTATAGGCTGTTAGCCAAGCAGCAAATGCCCCCTCTCCACATCACTGAAATAGTCCAATGGAAAGGGAAGAGCCAATACAACTGGTTCCAGCGACGTCGCAGGAGTTGCCAGAATGACTCCAGCTCCGGATTTTGCCTCGAGGTTAACTCCTGAAGCCTTTTCCATGAATGGATATAGCCACAAGGCAGTGGAGGTTTGAAGTCAGAGTTTTCTTTCTCCTAGATGGGCTGCCTTCCAAGGCTGATGAGCCCCACCTACCCGGACTTCTAGCTAGATAATTATAGATAAGATACTTGAAAAAAAACCTACAACCTTGGAAAGCTGCTGCTACTCACAGTAGACAGTCATGAGACAGAGGGACAAATCAGTGCTCATACGCTATATTTCAAACAGAACTTGCAAAGACTGTCAAATTCCGTGATAGTGTTGTGCCTGGCTCAATCAATCAATCAATCAATCAATCAATCAATCAATCAATCAATCAATCAATCAATCTCTGTCTGTCTGTCTGTCTGTCTGTCTGTCTGTCTGTCTGTCTGTCTGTCTGTCTGTCTGTCTGTCTGTCTGTCTGTCTGTCTGTCTGTCTGTCTGTCTGTCTGTCTGTCTGTCTGTCTATTTATTTATTTATTTATTTATTTATACCCCGCCTATCTGATCAAATGACCACGCTAGACAACTCAAGTTAGGCAATGGAAAATTTTAATTAAAAGTTTCCAATCTCTCCATTTAGCTTCCAAGGCTCCCTCAGGCTCCCTTTGGCCCTGGGGAAACCTTTGGGAGCCTTAGGAATGGGGGTGGGAAGAGCCTTTAAAAGTCAAAAATTGCCACCATAGCACCACCACTGGAATTGGGGCTATGTCACCAATCCAATGTCAATTTGTGACTTTCAAAGCCTTCCCCTCCCCATTTCAAGGCTCCCGAACACTTTCCCAGGGCAAAGGGCAGTTCAAGGGAGCCCTGAAACCTAAAATGGGGGGGGGAATAGGTTGCTTTTAATTAATGTAAGTTAAATTCTTCTGGCACCCCATTTGAGTTGCACCAAGTGCAAAGTTAGAAGATTTCTGCCCATTCATGCATATATGTATACAGTACACACTGTCTAATTATGGGAAACCACAGACCAGTCAAGTCTAAAAAAGTCTCCAGCTACTGATACTTGCTGGACCTGCCAACTGTAGTACTGTACGTAATTAACTGCTGGATAGGCTCATTCCTACAGGAATGGTTTCCAATAAGACAAGGATGCATTTTAACCCCTATTTTGTTCAGTCTGTACACAGAACACATAATACAGAAAGCCAGACTAAACTGAAATGAAGGAATGGAAATTGGTGATTATTATACCGCATTTCTCACAAGGGACCCGAAGCGGCTCACAACTTCAAAATTCACACAATTTAAAAATACAAGTTAAATATTAAAAGATAAACAATATATGATTTAAAATACAATTAAAATATGAAAATATGAAAACATAAAAAAAGATTAAAATTTCTGCTGAAATGGGGTTCAGGGATTCAGTTACAATTGTTAAAGCATCAATAATTTAAGATATGCAGAAGACATCATTCCTGGCAGAAAGCAGCAATGACTTGAAATGATTTTTACATTTAAGACTGCCAATGAAGAAATTGATATGGTTAGAGGTTTTGTATAGCTTGATTCAATCATCAATCCAAACGAAGACTGTCACCAAGAAAATTAGGAGACTCAGAAGGGCAGCAGTGAAGGAAGTAGAAAAGATGATCATGTGTAAGGATT